AAAATTAGCCGGGCATGGTGGCGCATGCCCGTAGTCCCAGCTACTCGGGAGGCTGAGGCAGGAGGATCGCTTGAGCCCAGGGGTTGGAGGTTGCTGTGAGCGAGGCTGACGCCACAGCTCTCTAGCCCCGGTGACAGAGCCAGACTCTGTCTGTCAATAAATAAATGAATACATACATACATACATATATAAATACATACATACATATATAAATACATACATACATACATGCTGAATTCAGGACCGAGGTATTTGCAGTTGCATTGTAATGCAGCGCAGAAGCTGTGATAACGAGATAAGTCTTCGTTGTAGAGAATAATAAGACGTGGAAAAACTCGAATGCTTTATAAACACATGAAATGAGGCCGTTTCTTTCCATTGATAACATTCTTTAGAGGATGTAATTTTTTTTTCAGCTGCATCTTTTTCATATCCGTAGGTTACGAATATGCGCCCAAAAAATGTGACGGTGTTTCGTATGCTCCAGCCACTCACCCGGGGGGCTGGGGAGGGTTTTGAATGAGTGCGTTGATACTGCCTTTGATTAACTCACGCTTAAAATATGGTTCGGATTAAGTCGGAAATCAGTTGGAGGTACAGCTTATTTAACGTAATGGAAAGTAGAGATTCATTCCCAGGTAGATACAATTGTATCGGCCGACTCTGGAAATGATTGGAACGTTATCCTTTTTTATTAACTCACGAACAGGCAGAGACCTCTCTTATCTCCCTAAAACCAGAGTGAATCTGTTTATGTTGAATTTAAACGCAACAGTCTGTTTAGCTGCCACGTGACTTCCTGAACAGAATGAGGTGTCGCCTGGTATTGCTGAACAGAAGGAATTGAATTATACTGGAAATGCTGATATTTTGGGGTTGTTCTCTAAGTTCAGAGATGCCAGCAAGCTGAAGCCCGTCGGCTTTCTGTAAGGGGTACCCAGTCGGATTTTGCTCATTCGTTTTTTTTAAAATAATGCTGTCTTTTCCAAGCTAATACGGGCTGTGCTTTGCCTCCCCCTGTTCTCAAGGCACCTTGATGGAGCTGGGAATATCTCCCATCGTCACCTCCGGCCTCATCATGCAGCTCCTGGCCGGAGCCAAGATCATTGAAGTCG